AACGTATGCAAGAGAAATTGAAGTTAGGTATATAAGGAATTTTAAAACACACTTGTTTTTAAATAATGTGCTTTTCCAGGTGTGTAAGAGAACCACACATGCCATTTACAGAATGATTTCATTGTATTAAGAATACAGTTGTTTCTAGATATCACAGATGAAGTATCACAGAAGTGGTATATGCTCCATCCTGGCAGTATTCAAGGCCAGGTTGGACAGAGCCTTGGGCAACATGGTCTCGTGTGAGGTGTCCCTGCCCATGGCAGAGGGTTGGAATTAGATTATTTTAAAGTCCTTTCCAACCCAAACCATTCTGTAATTCTGTGTAGCCTAACAACTACAACTCACTGGAAACTCCTGAAGAGCATCTGTCAAATCCCTTCTGTTTCACTTGCCTGTCAGGTGTCTGTCACATGAGCAAAGGCAAGCATGGAGCAGCACAGCACTGCCTGAACCTCACATCCTGGCAGGTACCAGGCAGCAGCTCATCACACATTGAGCGATGCTGTGTGAGGACAAGAGCATCATCCCACTGCCAAAATTCAGACAAGAGAGGAAGCGGGTTGCCAAAGCTCTCTGATCTCCCTGCCTGCAACAACAGGGGAAGGGCAAGGGGCAGGCCTGGAACAATATACCTAGTTCTAGACGGCCACATATTGGACAACTCTATTTGAAATGAGAAGGCTCCTTAGTAACACCGTTTATTTCTCAGAAATATTCTTACAGCCTACAGTGGGTATTTTCTGAATCAATTTGACCAATACATAACTGTGCTTTCTAGGTGTTCTCAGAGGTTAACAGCAAATCCATAAAAACATTTAATAGCTACATCCTCCAAGCTTCTCCATTCTGGCCCCAGGGACACCAGTTACAGTAAGTGTGCAAACTTCCACAAATTACAGCCTACAGCTCACCTCTTAAAACCACGTTTGAGCATCCAATTGTGGAACATTCTCCAAAGATCACGTTCCCTTTTTCTACAAATGATACTACAAGCTAAAAAGTAATATAGACTATGTATCAAGCCACTACCATTGGCTTTGAATTGAGTTCATTCTATACCCACTGAACAGATTAAATATTTGATCTGTCTCTTCTCGTGTAAGGAAGAATTTTAAACTTGCACTTTACTCTCTTCAACAAAACAGAACAACCAACCAACAAAAAGAAAAAAACAACCCCCAAAACTCACAACAGCCAAAACAAAAAAACCTGAATTGTAAAGCATAAAATTCTGTTAATCAAGAAATTAAAAAGCGCTTTGTTAATTCTGTACAACATAAGCCACAAACATCAACCAAAGGCAATGGGGACAAGTAGTGAAGTGAAGCCTACCCTCTACAAAGAAGTGAAAAAACTGCACGGTCTAATAAAAATCTGCAATTTGCATATTACTAGAAACACAGTATTTGTCAAAGGTGATAGGAACATAAAACCCCACACGATTCCAAACCTCTCAAGGTTAGCAATATTTCAATGACCTTGAGCCTGGCCTTGAATTTAGTAAGTAGCAGCTCTGCAGGAAAAGGATGACTTTCAATACCTGTGCATACTTTGGTTTAAATAATACTCCACAGAATTTAAACCAAAACCAAAACCTAGAATTGTGTTACACTGAGATCTTCAGTTCCCCACTTAATCCAATAATGGAAGCCTGTTTTGCAAACAGTCTTGCCTCCTTATCCTTCCCCATTCTGCCCATTTCATTTAAATGCTGCTTCTCTAACTAGTTAGATTTTAAACAGTTCAGCAGATGCGGTTTGGGAATTACAGGGCAAATGAGGTAGGGGAATACAATTCTCAATAAAATAACTGCTTTTTCACAAAGCTAAGGAAATACAGCCTGAAATGGCTTTTCTTGGTTTAGCTCTTAAGTCACTCAGCATTTTTAAGCAGCTATCACAGGTAAATCATGCCAATGAACAGAAAACACATTCATAAATGGAAAGTCACACAGCCCCCCCCTTAAGCTTTTAGTGTTGTCTTAGGTAGCTCCAAGACAGCAATGTAAGTGCCAGCACTGGGAAGACTTCAGTTTCATGTGTATGGTTACTCTGCCAAGCACTGGGACACACGCAGCCACAACAGGAAGCTGGGCAAGTCTAAAACACCCTAAATCAGGTCCTGCAGGATGACTACTCACTAACCAGCCTTGCTTGGGAAAGCAGTCTTGGAAGAACAATAGTCTTCCAATGAGATTATCATGCCCTTGTTTAAAAACAACTATAGGCACCCAGCAGAAGGCATTAATGATACATCAGGTAAGTGAAAACTAGATACGTTTATTTAAAATACTAGATTATACGGAAAAAAAAACCAACAAACTGTCAGATGACTACCCCAGTACCAACAGATGACTGGCACCATACAAGATACAGCCATACAATATGTAGCTCATACATTCTATTTGGTGCATGGGAAAACAGGTAACCATTAATTCAACACAAAGCCTCAACAAACATGCAACACATCTGCAAGAGCGAGTACAATGTGCAGAGCATTTGAATAATTTCCAAGTGCTGTCTATCCTCAGGTGCAGTATTCCCTTGTTTATACATAAAATACTACACAGCATAACAGGAACTGCTTTTTTTTTTAAGAGCCTCCAAGCTATTTGGATTTATGGGCGACTGCCAGTTCAAACTTTCATGTCAATCGCCACACACCCTGACAAAACTTCTGAGAAGCTTTACACAGTGATAATCTTCAGCTCACTATGTGACCCCAGCAATCGCAAACCTGACCGTACATGTAATATGTCCCTCTTCGGATTACTACCTCTAAACGTAAAGCTTTTAATTAGCTATTTGGGGCCCGTTTGTTTTTAAAAGACCTAGCTCACTTGGGTTAACTACACTCTTTCTTTCAGAAAGCAACAACCATACCCACCTGCTAACTGAAATGATGGTTTGGGTCAGACTTTACACAAAATTGCAACACCACCAAAAAAAAACATCCCCAAATCCTGCTCTACTGAAGCGGGTGTTGATTCGAAGAGGGGGGGTCTGGTTTGTTCCCTCATAACCTCAATATAGCAAACTGCTGTCTCCCTCAGCGGAAGCTGCGCGGGAAAGCTCAGCGCGCGCACCTTTAGCAACGCGCTTTCTCCGCGAGCCCTGGCCACCGAGGAGATCCGAGCTTAAACCGCATCCGAAACGGCAGCGGGGTCTCCCACTGCCTGCACAGCGGCTGGCGCTGGCAGCTCCGCGAAGGGAGGCGACGCCTGACGCCCCCAGACCCCGGAGGCGGCAGCGACGAAAACACCCACTCCGCGCTAACCTACGGCCTTCACCAGGCCCCGCCCCGCCGGGGAAGGCGGGCGGGGAGCGGGCCCCGGGCCTACCAATCACGGTGAACGGCCGGCCGGCCGAGCTGCCCGGTACCCCCGTGACCTCAGGGGCTTCGGCGCCTTCACCCCGTCTCCCTCTCCCCCGCCCCATCCCCGGCCGGGGGGTCACTTACCGTCCCGGGACGTGCCCATAAGCTGATCCAGCATGGCGCGCATCTGGGCCTGCGCCGACATCTTGAGCGCGCGGGGGGCCGGCCCGGCCCGGCCGAGTCACGCCGACAGCGGCCTACAAGGCCCGAGGCCCGGCGCGGCGCTCAGCCCTCCCACCCGCGTCACTGGCGGGCCCGGGCGGAGCCGCTCCCCCGGCACCGCGGGCGGGGGAAGGGGGGAAGCGACAGCTGCCTTTGCCTCTCGCTGCCGGTGGGAGACGAAGCGGGAAACCGATCCCGCGCGCCTCAGTGGTGCCGTCGCCTCCCCTCTCCCCTCCGTTCCTCCCTCTTCCCCTCACGCCTGCCACGCGCGCGCGGCAGCGGTAACGGAAACGCGCGCACGCGCCCTCGAGCCCAGCCCCCCCCCCCCCCCCAGCCGCTCCGCGACGTCAGCGCGGACGGGTCTTGGCGCCCGCTGATTGGCCACGGCCTACGGTGATCGGCTTGTGACGCAGGGCGCGGCGAGGCCCCTGATTGGGCCGCCGGGCTGGACTCTTGAGGCGGGTGGATTGGCAGGGCGGCCTTGGGTAACCACTGTGACGTTCCCGGGGTCAGCGGCGGTGGGGGGTTTCCTCCCGCTCCCGGGCAGCGAGAGCTGGGCACTGCCCAGCACCGGTAGGCTCGACCCGAGTTCTCATCCTCTGTGAGGGGAGACAGGACCGGACGTTTGCCGAGGGCCGGTTCTGACGTGCCAGAGCAGGTGGCTGGGCTCAAATTAACGCAAAGCTGGAGCGGGGACTGGCCGCGTAACGGGCGTCGCTCGCGGCCCAGTCCCGCTCGCTCATCCCCGCTTATCGATAGGACGCTCACCGGGTGACGGGAGCGAGTTTAGACCCGCGGCTGCTCGGACGGGTACGTACGCCGGAGCTAGCGCTGACGGAGCAGGCTGCCGAAGGACAATTCCCTTCTTCAGCTGACGCTCAGCTCCATTTTAACGGCTTCGTCCTTCTGTCAGTGCAGCGATGGTGGGACTGCTGAGAAAAGCTGCTGTAACACTCGGTTTTTAGAGAACCTGCCTCATCGCTGACGTTACTGATGGTTGCTGGAGCTAATTCGGCTTACAGAGCACCGAGATCCAGTCTCAAAATGACTATTTCTGTATTTTTTTATCTATCCCAACACCTGCGTTTGCAGCTCTCCCTTTCTTAACCATCGTGTTGCCATCTAGCGCCCACAAGCTCTCAATGACCGTCACAAGGATCAGTTGTCCACGGCCGCGACTAGAGTCGCCCTCAACTTTGACGATATATTTGAGAAAACAACATATAAAGCCATGAAAACTCCCGCCACACTTAATCTGGTTTTCACGAGGGCTTGCAGAGAAAATGAAACGCTCAGACAGGAATCTTCTGTAACACGTTCAGGAAAAGGTTTCCTACCCAGTGCTCCTCGGCTCTTCAGAGCATGGCCCGGCTCTGGGTTTTCCTTTAACATGTAAATTTACTTTTGTTAGTCATTACATTACTCTGGATTGAAGGGGATGTAACTGGAAGAGATACCAATACTGGTGAAAATTTTCATTATTTAGCACCTTAGCATGTTTGAAGAAAATTGAAAAAATTTATCTATTATTTGTAATCACGCTGTACAACCTTAGCTTTAGGTACTCCTTAAAGATCATCTATTTCTGGCCAAATTTCAGCTTTTCTTCCAGAGCTGGTTTCAATGAGCCAATTTATTTTACTTCCAGAACAGTACACCACAGCCTTTGGATGCAGCAAACCTTCAGTCCACCTGGAAAGTAAACTGCAGAATGAAACAGCGGTATTAAATAACTGGGAACAACAAATACTTTGCAGCCATTCTCAGGGTATAGTGACCCCTGATTTTCATCTGTCACTGCAAATCAGTTGGTACTTTCCCACCTAGGATATCAACACTTGTCAAAAGGACACCCGTCAGTTTTAACCAGTGAGACATGGCAAGAACTGCAAACCTGGTCTACAGAACCTTAAAGTTCATATCTCTGTACTTTATTTAAGTACCCTGAGTCTCCCCAGTTTTAAGTATCTGTTGTTCCTAATACTAATAGCTAATACTTTGGTATTAAACTATCTCTGAGTTTTAAATACAGAGTAAGGAAAATACATAGATTTAGATGAAGTCATCCTATTTGCAGTGCTTTTCTGCCAGAATAGCTTGTTTTCCTTGATAATAAAAAACAACAAAACAAGCACTTGCTTATAGCTCCTGCCCCACAATAAAGCAGCCTCACATTTTTAGGCATTATAAGTTGCCCAACATAATAAAGACGTGGGCCTGCTCAGGTGAGTCCAGATGATGGCTACAGAAATGGTCTGAGGCTGGGAGAGTTGTGGTTGTTCTGCTCAGAGAACTGAAGGCTCCAGGGAGACCTTACAGCAGCTTCCAGTACCTAAAATGGCCTACAAGAAATCTGGGGAGGGACTTCTTACAAGGGTAGGTAGGGACAGGACAAGGGGGAATTGCTTTAAACTGGCAGAGGGAGTTCTACACTAGACATTAGGAAGAGGTTCCTTACTGGTGAGACACTGGCACAGGCTGCTCAGAGAAGCTATGGCTGCCTCATCCATGGCAGTGTTCAAGGCCAGGCTGGATGGGGCTTTGAGCAACCTGGTCTAGTGGAAGGTGCTCCTGCCCATGGCAGGGGGTGGGAACTAAATGATCTTTAAGGTCCCTTCCAACCAAAACCATTCTGTGCTTCTACGTATTTTGCATATAATCCAACCCTTTTCTTAGAGGAAAGCAGCAACAATGCAAGCCAGTATTTGTTTTTAAAAGAAACTTGCTGTTCCAGATTGCAAGACAAGAAAATGGCAGTTTGGTGTATCTAGTGTCATTGGCAGTCATCAGCTCACTTTAGTGAGATTCAGTGTGTGAGAACAGCATAGGAAGCCTACAGTCTCAGAGCCAACCGCTCAGAGACACTGGGAAACCCGTAACACATGAAGTAGTATTTGGCTTTTTGAATTGTTGCCACTAGCTCACCACCATGGAAAAAATAATCTTCAAGATGAAAAAAGAGGTTTGTGCTGCTGCTGCATTCACCAGGATCCAGTGATGTTCCCAAGAAGGTACCTTCAGTCTTGGGAGAGTAGAAAATTCCCCATGTACAGAATGTGGCTGGCAGATCTACAGTAAATAGGCCAGTTCTCTTTAGCTACAGGTTTTGAGGGGGGAACCAACAACCCTTGCACCTCCTTAAGCAGTTTAGCAGCAAAGGCTGTTACCTTTTCTCACTACAAACAGTCCTTCTCTCATTCTCTGACAGCTGCCTCTCACATCACCCCACACCTGCAACCCAGAACTGACAGAAAGCACGAGCCAGAAAACCCCAGCCAGTTTCGATGACGATAGGACCTTTATTCGAGAATAAACAGGTAAGTCAGCAGAGTCACCTCAGCCTTTCCCTCCCGGCTGCTGAGGCAACCTGAAGCCCACCAGGCCGGCGACCTCCTCAGGCGAGCGCTCGCCCCGGCCGTGGTACTCCCGGTGGAGGGCCTCGTGCTCCCGGACGCTGCGGAGCAGGCAGAGGTAGGTGGCAGCCTGGAAGTGCAGCTCCTGCTGGGCCCGGCACAGCTTCTCGCTGGTCACCTGCAGAGAGCACCCATCAAGCCCCGGGGACTTCACACCCCGCCCCGACGCCACAAGCGGGGCCAATTCCGCCCCGCCTCATCTCCCCAGGAGAGAGAGGCAGGAGCGGGTGGGTGAGTGAGGGGAGCCGCACCCCGCGAGTACCCGGTTGGCGCGGAAGGCCGCGACGATATGCTGATAGGCGGGCGTGTCGCGATAGGGGCGGCCCGCCCTGCCGCTGGCGTGGCGGAGCTCGCGCAGGAGCCCGCGCAAAGTCCGCAGCGGCGAGCCCAGCCCCGCCATCTTGCGCACCTCTCCCCCCGACGGCCAATCGAGCGCCGCCGCCTCACTGCGGCGGCCAATAAGGAAAGCGGACGATTCCACGCTAGCGCCTTCGGCCAGGATGGGCTGTGGAGCGCCGAGTCGGGCGATCGCCTCCTCCAGCCCTCCGTGCTCCGCGGAGGTCAAGGGCCGAAGGTCGAGTATCGAGGAGAGGCCGCGCCGAGGCCCTTGCGCTCGCTTCTTCTCTCTCGCCCCGGGCCGTTGGTTTGGGGGCGGTGCCTTCGGGCCGCTTGCCGGTCCCGAACGGGGTCAGTGGGACCAGCGGAGGGGCCCGTCCCGCTGCGGGGGGGTGAGTTGGACCTGGCCTCCTCCCTCCCGCGCAGCCCACGTGTGCCTGAGGTCTCTCGGTACAGCTCGATAGAGCCCAAGGGGGGCGCTCGGTGATCCCAGAAGACGCAGACCATCGGCAATCCCGGGCCAACGCTCTAGACAGTGGAGGCGGCTGTAACGCTCCAGCGCTGCCGCGGGGCGCTGCTGTCTCCTGGGCACAGAAAAAAAAACAGTCCACCCCAGATGGGACTCGAACCCACAATCCCTGGCTTAGGAGGCCAATGCCTTATCCATTAGGCCACTGGGGCTGCCGCGAAAAACTCTCTTCTCTGCAGGCGCTTCTCCTCTATCCCCGCCCCTCTTGCCTTTTATGGAAAGGGTGGAACGCTTCTGACTGGGCGGTGCCTTCCCGCGCGCGGCGCTCGGGCCGGAAGCCGTGTGGCCCGCTGGGGGCACGGGGCGGGGTTACGCGTGGTTCATTGAGCCGCTGCGGTGGGCTGGGCTGCGGGGGTTCCCGGCACCAAGGGGAGCGATCCTTTTCTTACTGCTCGTCTGGTAGCTTTCAGCCGCTGCTGCCTCTTCGCAGCATCGCCCTTGCCTTTGTGGCTGCCCAGGCTGAAGAAAGCTGGCACCTACCCCCAAGGAAAACCAGCACTGAAAACCCCAACACAAAACCCCAAGGACAGCCGTCCAAGTGAAACCTTCTTACGTCACTTCTGTTAGGATAAATCACAGAGACAGGGCTAATATGTACATTCCTCTTTATTTAATACAGCACAGACACATGACATTTAAAAAAGGAAAATAAAAAGTACACTCATGAAAAAAGCCTGTCGCAGTCAGGGACAGGGCACAGCAACGCCAATTGGGTAAGGCTCCTCCTGCAGAACAGGCGACTGCCGGCAAGGTTGGATCCCAGAGCTAAGTCTGCTGCCGAAAAATAAAAATACTAATAAATCTTTGCACTCCCTTCAGGAAAGCACAAAATACACGGGCAAGTCCCTTCTTGCATCGCAGATAGAAACCCTATTTCTCTGTCTGGACCAAAGCACTGGTAAAATGAGAAATGCTCTCCAGCTATTTTTGCAGAGGTCCTATAGTCCTGACCTCCGAAAACACCAGACTTCTCAGGGATAGCGGACCCGAGATCTGGAAGGAGTGAAAACATGTAGTCACACAGAAGAGAGTTAAAATTAGTCTCTCTGATAGGGTTCCACTAGCCATGACTGGGAACGTGCAGGGAAACAAACCATCTTCCCAAGTAACGAAAAGACTTAACAGCCATTAAACTGACCAGAACAATATACATATTTGGAACTGATGCGGGCTTTCTGTGGCAGCAGCTTCTTCCTTTTCCTGCTTCAGTTCAGGATGGAAATTAAGCAGGCACCAGTTCCTCTGGCAAAGAGCCTTACACATACTTTTAAAAAATCAAAATACAAAAAAGGGAGACAGGTGTATTTACAAAATCCATGGCTGGTACAGTACATCATTTTTAAGACACACTAAATGCTACAATCTTTCAGGTCCTGAGATTATTACAAAAAAAAAAACCAACAAAAAACCAAACCAAACCAAAACCAAACAACAAACAACCCAACAACTCAAAACTTGCGTCCAGGTCCAGTTTTATGAGGAGAGAGGAAAGAAATCACACATTTTAAACACAGCATCCTGTGAAGTTACTGGAACACACCTCCCTAAAAATCCAAATGAAGTGGATTTCAACCCAAATGTAGCTGCATTTGGTTGTTCAGGCTTGTCACAAGAGGGGAGCATTTCACAGGAGAGTTGCCCTGGAGAGCTCATCAGGTAAGCAGCACACGGCTGTTCGGATTCTTTAAGCCCCATGATCCAAAATATGTGAACACTAAGAGGAGGAAGATGACCTTGTACAAATCTATGCTGGACTGAATAAAGCATCACAGGAATCACCAACTCAAACAGGTTTGCCATCTCGTAGTAACTGTGCATTCCTTTGCTTGAAGCTGAGGAATGCAAAGAATTCTAGCTGTGATTTTAACATTAGTTTAGAACAGAACACTCGGCCAGCTACGCTCCCCAGTGAGAGACAGGACAACACTTTGTCCATCTGTTTCCCAGCCTTTCATTGTATTGGGGACCACAGCAAGTCAGGTAGTTAAGCTAGCAGTGACCAAACTTGCTAAAACATATACATATATATACACACACTAAAATGACACCAAACAAAGGATACTGAGGCCAAACCTCTGTCGAGGAGATGATCCCCACTACCATTAGTTGTGTAGGCAGGTATTTGGACGCACTGTTCTTCACAGGGCCTCGATCAGGCAGAACTGGAGGGACTTGCACCCACACCTGGTTGGTCTTTTTTTTTTTCCCCCAATGAAATATTCTGAACATAGTGCTTTTGTATCATCAGAAGTTATCATCACAGATGCCCTTTTATTATAAGCACCTGACTTCAAGCTAGAGAACGCCAACATTTTAAGGATTACTCATGAAATGCTTCTAACTCTCAGTAAAAGAAGACTACAAGAGACAAATCACGTAACAAGGGTACTAGTTTAACTGCTAAAATATAATGCTGCTCAGTAGACTTTTCAGGGCAAAAAGTAGTAATTTTGAATTTTTTTTTATTTTTTTTTTAACAGTAGTCCAAAAATAAAATTTCTCCATCTATTTCCAGTATGGATCTTGAGAACTATGCAAGAACATGGAACTAATTGCTACATGATGGTATCACCGGCAATAAAACACACACTACAGTTCTCACCTCTGAGCTAAATTGTTATTTGTAACTACATACAAGACTAAAAGATCAGTGAGAAATACCAGGGGATCACGATTTAATTTTTATTTAAAGATCCAGCTACTGTGTAGCCAGTAACTCCCCTTATTTAGAAGCAACTTCATTTAAGTGAGAAATTAATTTAATTCACTTCTGATACTGGAAGGAAACCTGGGATGTCTCATTAGTTTCTCCCCAAATCCAATTTGTACGTTTAACAGTGCTGTAGCTTCTTACACCAATTTTGAGAGCTGAATATCCTAAAAAACTCTCAGAATAAAAACCTGTCACAAGAGGTGATTTTAGCTTCCCTCTTAAAGCAACTTCATGACACATGACACTAGGTGTTGCACCAGTGAAAGGGTTTCTTTTTGAAAATACAAGTTTCTTTCTTCATGTTAGCAAAAAAAGTTCTGCAGTATAGACATTAAAAAAAATACTCAATTTTCTTTGGGTAGAACTTCAACATGTGTTAAGAGGGGTAACTGGGGGAAGGAATGCATGTAACACTGAAACACATAAATACTTATCTGCATAGTTGATATTAGTGACTACTAATCAAACTAAGGCCTTATCTGGAAAAAGCTGAGAACACAAGAAAGTTTCCTCCCCCACTTCTCTGGTGAAATCTGGTAAGTCTCAAGCTCTGTCTGCCTCAGCAGCTACTCATTTTGGCCTGTGATGATGGTATCTCTTGACTGGTTTTGGTTGATTCTCTATCTGTTCTTCTCTTGGTACTAGACAGTAATAAATGTAACTATCTATTGATAAAATACATCTGCACACACTGCTGGGCAAAAAGAAAAAAAACACGACCAAACCAAAACCCCTCAGTATTGTGCATGACAGGAGTCAACATGTACACCACTTGCTTTGGGTTACTTCACCATAAAGGAAAAACTTAATGGTTGTTACCTAAGCAGGAGATGACAGCAAGGGAAGAGACTGAAATCCTCTTTTAGATACAAAACATGGGTTTGTTTTTTCTAGAGTTGCTCTGTAGAATTATAGCTGTCAAAATGGCTACAAAATACAGACCTATATCCTTGACTACTGACAAGATCAGCAGAGTTTTATGTGTGAGGAGTGTGCAAAAACAGCTGTAGGGAATCTGTACTTCCCCAGTTTTGGGCCAGTTGCAGGCCATGCTGATCTCTCAGCATAACTCATAGCAGCAGCAGGGCTTTCTATGGCCCCAAAAGGCTATTACAGCAGCAAGGGATCAC